TGCCTTTAACTTATCATGTATTTTTATTTTGCTTTTGATGGCGATACTTACTTTCCTGAAAAGTGCTATAACACCCAAATATTCTTTATCACTTTGCTATTTGTTTCAGTACTCTTCCGTGCTGGAATCATATCTAATTTATTATTTGCATGTGTTTGAGAATTTGTATAGTTTTTATATATACAGTCAAAAGCCCTGTGAACATTAATGTTAAATCAGAGCATTGTCTTCACTGTGTAAAATTTTATGAATGCAAGCACCCTTATGTATAAACTATTTTGGAGTTAAAGCCAAAGACAAGGAAGAAGACTAAATCAAATGATACATGATTAAAGCTGCATAGAAATTTGCTATATATTTTTAAGGAATATTTGTCATAGGTTTGGCATGGGGCCTCATGATGCTGTTTTTTCTATGAAGATCAGATTCCTGGTTTCATTTTAAAAAAAGGTTATTTAAATTTCTTCTGTGTAAATGAAAAAGGAAAAAACCAACCACAAACAACAAAAGAAATAAGTACTACTGCCTAAGGTAACACTGAATTACATAGCACGTCTGTTAAAATGCTGAGATTGCTTTGGAAGAAAATTAGCACGTATATTGTTATATGGTAAACTAGGTTATAAGCATTAACTTGTATTCTTGAATGCTTGCATGCTGCATTCACAATTGAGTTAGTTAGCTACAACAAACAAAGCTTACTCATAGCACAGAAAGCTATTACATCAATGTCAAATCAGTCCAAACTACCCGTTGTTATCAAAGAATGCACGAGGTGATTAGCTCATCAAAGTGGTATAGCGGGGTTATCTCTTACGTTGGTTTAACCACCCACTACAGCGGGATTGCCAGCTAGCAGATCACATGTCTATCAGTTCGGCAAAACAGCCACTGACAATAGCAGAGTTTGCATTTAGCAGATAGGACCAAGTCGTCTAAATACGTGAGCTGACTTCACGAAGAATGGAAAGGAGATCTTACTGGGTTTTGTACCACATGAATCCTTAGGGTGTATCGTGTTGTCTCCCATCATAATATCAGACTTTTACATACAATAATTCAGAAATAATGAAATCCTTCAGGACTCTCATAATATTTTTCTCGTGTTTAGAGTGTGGAAACTGTGCTTGGGGTAAAGTTTGTTATGCATCTTTATTTTTGTATGGATTGTACATTTATTAGCAATCTATCATTTCTGCATGTGTTTGTTTCTCCCTAAATGTGTGTTTTTAGGGTGGATTAATAGCGGTGGATCTTTCATGATCCACTTTTAAGCACTGTCCCTATTTCATGAAAATATGTGAACTGGAAAGTTTCTGATGTAATTCATGAATTATGAGCATAAGGTTTCTTAAACATAAGGTGATCAGGACCCAAAAATATCTTTTAAATATAACAATTTGTTAACCACAGAGTTGTGAATCAAACTATAATATATATTTCTATAATTTGATAGGCAAAAGGATAGTTTTCAATTTTTTTTTTAAATGTTTAGATATATTTTAAAAATGTTATATCAGTTGCAGCAGATTCTGTTCAATGCTTATTAGCATTGCAGGCAAAATTTGGGGCAAAATTCAGTTTTGTGATACTAGCCTAGTAGTTCCCTTTTGGAGAAGTCATTGCCATTTTCAAGGGACCGAGACAAAAGTCAGGAAGGGGTCAGGCACCAGGAGGTTTACAGAAGGAATTTGGAAAGTGGGGTTCTGGGTGAGAGGAGAAGTAGGAGGGACTGGTGATACTTACAGAGGTTAGGGTGGAAAAAGGAGAGTTCACAGGGTGGATAAGAGTTCACAGCATTTCTGGTGGTTGAGGAAAATTTCAAGGATGGGTGGCATGATCTTTTCCCTTCTCTGCTTCTCTCTCCACCTCCCTCCTGTGACCCTGGGCTCATCTTCTGTTTTCCTGGACCACTTATCCTCCTTGCTACTCTATTTTCTCTCTCCTCCATCTACTCTCAGAGCAGGCCCAGCTTCCTTATCTCCCGGGGGCCTGGGAAGTGGATCAAGGCAGGATCTGTCAGGGTGGGAAGGGCAGGGACAAGCCAGCGAACCTGTATAAGAGATCTGGAAATACAGCTGGCTGCTCATGCTGCAGGGGTGGAAGGGGTTCAAATGGCAATTTCCTTCACAGTAATACAAGACTGTGCAAGTTTGGGCACGTGCCTGCAGCTGGAATGTATGATCTCTTTCTCTTTCCTTTGGCAGTTATTTGTTTACTTGCATTTGCAGTATTCTCCAAACGTCAGTGATATAAAACCAGTAGTGAATGTAGTAAGACACTATGTGCTACATTATATTCTTTGCCTTTTTGTGGAAAAACTAGAATATTTACCCTTATGCCACAATTTATGGCTTTGAGAAGTCACTAAGATTGCTTATAGGCTATGCTGTATAGCACTCTTTTGCTTGTCTAGATTATGGATTTTTTTTGAGCATAAATGAGTCCCCAAATAGACTATAAACACAGTTACTTGCACTAGAAAACACAAGAGAGAGCCAGGGCAGATACCTGTCTGAGTTTACTGGAAGCATTTACTCAGACTGAGCAATTCACTGCTCCCAGAACTGATAAGACAGACATACTGCCATGTGTGCTCTTGTTCCCATTACAGTAGTTGGCTTTACATAAACTGTAAAAATTAATGAAATTTCCAAAATAAGAGAACGAAGCTTCTGCTTAGCAGTACTTCAGATTACAATCTGAGCCGTTAAGGGTTAAACACAGAGCAGCACTGTGGCTAGAGAAGGAAAGGAAAACAATATTCAAAGCATGAGAACACTACTGTCTTTTTTAACCTTCAGCCAACTGGTATGTAGCATTTATACGTGAAAAAATGTGGCTGTAGCTGCTAAGTGTCTCCTTGCATTCCCTGATTTGTAAGTGCCCTATTCATTTTGCAATAATATAATCTACACAAAGACAGTCATAGATTGGAACCCTCAGGCATAAATAATCTACATTCTGATTCCAAGCATTTAAAATTCAGATAATTTCACTACTCAAATGGACAAACTTTAATCTGTAGATGTAACATAAAAATGTGTCTCAGTGTCATTGCCAACATCCAGCGTTGCATTTCTGCATGCTTCTTTGTATGGGCTTGTGTCTTCAAAGGTGAAATTTAGTTCTTTTTTACAAATTTGTTTGTTTATAAATGACGGAGGAATGAGGGGGGCGTTTCATGCAATGTAATGTAAACAGAGTGGACAAAAAAGACCAAATGTAGAAGCAATACTTGAATATAAACACTACTAACTCCCTGTTAGGTGAGCTCACGGCGAGAGCAAATGAAAGTGTTCCTCCAAGCCCTGGGACAAATGGCTTTGCCCTTTCCCCCTCCTCTCTACGCCTCCCCCGACTCCCACAACCATGGCCCCTGCTGATGCCACAGCTTCTGCCTCGGCAGGGGCTGAACTGGAAGAAAGGGCAGGTGAAATGTTCATTTTAAAAATATTTCTTGGGCCCTTTATGTTACTAAGCCAAAGAGAATGGTCTTGGCCTTCCCTTTCTTGATAGAACTGCACGTGGTTCCCATTGACATAATTGGAAGCCGTGTTGCTAGGTTATGAGAGAATTTGGCATGTACCTTGAAAATAATAATAATAATAAAGCCTCCTGAATTACTATAAAAATACCCACAGTAGCATTTCAAAATTAGGTTTATTTTTAAGTGTTACTGTTGCATCTCAGGAACTTGAAAACCATATTTTCTATTAGCAAAACATTTCCCATACCAATTTACATTCAGTGCATGTATTAACTTTGCAAACCACAGTTAAGCTTTCCTCTTGGGGACAGTACACTCATTTTTTATATTGAAAATAATGAAAGTTCTAAAAAAACCACAGAGAAATTATTTTCCCAGTCATGTTTGCAATTCTTTACCCTTAGAATTACATAAGTCTCTATGTTATGACATTTAATTCCTGTTTTTGCTCAACTTTGCCAAAGCAAGGCAGCAAAGAATCTTCATTATGTCTTTCTGTCCAAACATTCGCAAGTAAGTATTTCCACATGAATTGATACGTTAATTTGAACGTTCAGAGGGACTTTCTTCTAAATTCTATGCGAGAGAGCAGTATTGTGATATACTTAATGCTATCTGCTTCTCTACTGTGAGGGGGGCAAGCGCAGAACCATACACATTTGCAAACACCTTTGCAATCTAAGACCACAACATATTCAACATGGAAACGCCGCTTACAGTTCACAGATGGGAGGGGATATATTCACCTCTGGATGGTGGAGAGGTCAGGCAGTGCATATAACACAGGAATCACAGCTACAGACACTACATGATGAGAAGCAGAGAGCTGACCGGGCATGCTAAGAAACACTACGCTCCTACTTACCACACATTGCAATCTATGCCCAGATGTGGGTCTCCTAGGAAGGAGGAGGACAGGTTTTTTTTAAAACAGTGCAGGGTCTGGCCCGTTCATTTAAAGTCTGTTGCATTCTGGTACGAGAAGTGTTAACTTGGTGATGTTAACGGTCCTCGGTATGTGTCCGATGCATCAAAAGTTGTCATTATTCATAAAGTTTCAGTAATTTCTCTAGTCCTTTTTTCATAATAAAATTAAGTTTTCCACTTACAGAAAAGGGATATTGAGCTACAGTATGCAAAAGTGTCTTGTCAGAAAATAAGACAATGAACTGAAAACCAGCAATTACACTAGGAATATGTTCAGGAAGAACAACCAACAGTGTAATGAGCAGGAAAGGTGGAGAGTAAAACAAACTCATATGTTACATTATGTATTATATCGTTAAGTGCAGATCCCTACCTATCTGATTTTTATATTGAAAGTAATCTCCAATCATATACATAGTCTCCTAAACTCAGAGGCCATCTCCAATACGTATTTCTAAACTGCCTAGTGTAAAGAAACAGAAGACTCTAGATGTTAAATCAGCACGTTCAGTAATCATATTAATGTTTCATGTTATTTTTCAGATGAAACATTATTGGCTTAAAATATGGTACGTGCACTTACCATTATGTGACATTCCAACAGCAAGGCATTTTTGAAATCTGCAGTATTGACATTTATTTCTGCTTTTCTTATGGATGCGGCAATTAAGATCACACCTGTCATAAATCAGCTTTAATCTGATTGTTCTTCGAAAAAAGCCCTGGAGAAAACATAGAAGCATGTAAAAGGATGCAAGAAACTGCCAGTGTCACGGTTTCACTTCTCTATACGTACAAAGCCCCTTTCTGTATACACACTGAACCTAACTTTGTTTCAGACACATTTCCAAAGCAAGCAAGGCTCACGCAATCGTACTGTCTGCTTATCAGTGTGTCCTGTTCTGATCTCATTAGCCATTCTTGACCTAGTTTGATGGAGGGGTAAAATTCTCACATAGCTGGGGAAGCTTATGGGAATCAGTGGGGTTTAAGGCACATCAGGGACGTAAGCTGAGAGCTCTGCAGACGCGCCGAGCACGAAGAACACTATGCCAAAGGAAGCGAAGCTCCATTTGTTCCATTGCTCATGGGACGATTTGTTATAAACACCACATTTTCAAAATTTAAAGTTCACTACCAATGTAGAAAACATTTTATAAATCACAACACACCAAAATTCTACCAACAGCAGATTGATCTCAAGTAAATAAAAGAGATTATGAGTTACCTGTTTTTTAAACTTTTCTCTCCCAACTAATTAATTCTTCATTCTATTTCAAATATTTATTTTCCTTTTTGAGCCTGAATACTTAAAGAGAATCTATGTTCTTTCACTCGTTCTATTTCCTTGTTTTTGCACAGTGCTGAACTAATTTTGCAATATTTATTTCTGGGTTCTATTTTTTAGGTTGTTTTATTTTCTAGTTTATCTCCATTGTTTGGATGTTACAAGTTTGCAAAGTACATCATTGGCACATGAAAAATCCAAGAACTTGGTGCCAAACTCACAGCAATTACTGCACACAAGTCTTACGAAGTCTTAGAAAGAGCGAAATCATTATGGAAATTCACAATTCTGTCTTTTAACAGTTTAAAGATACTTTCTCAGATCGCTCATAGTAAACTAATAAAATGTATCCAAATTTATCATCAATTATTCCATGTAACAATTAATTTTTCCTCACACCAAATAGTAACAATAAAGCATAATGCCAACTCTTCTTTATATAATTCACTGTAATTTAAGTAATCAACAGCATACTTATTGCTTTATGTGTGTTCCTAATTCAGTGCTACAAATTTTATTTAAGCTCTGCATTGGGTCTTTCCTATTAGTTATTTGCCTCAAGATACTGAAAGTAGACAAGATGGGAATTTCATGTTTAACTCTGTAGTATTTTTCTTTGCAGTCAGTGAATTATTATTAACTTCTTTTATCTGGCATTTTTTTTCTCATTCTTGATGTTTACACCATTCATTTGTCCTGTATGTGTTATAAAGGACAAATGTCATTGACATAAAAAAAAGCCAGTGGAGTTTTAAAGCAGAAAGCCACATTCTTTAATACCACTAGACTTTTCTGTAGTCACCTAGAAATGTGTAAATTGGGTAAAGAAACTCTAATCAATCAGAATTACAGAGTCTGAGTTTTAAATTGCTCAGATTATCGAGCTTTGGAGTTGGGCATGAGTCTGCTTTTGCTGCGTTCTATGAATTCAGATTCTGCAAGTGATCTCCAAGACAGCCGGTATGAACTATAATTGCATAACTGACAAAAGTAGAAGAAATGCACAAAGAATTCGAATAGATCAGTAACATAATAAAAAAAGGAAATTATATTTTAAAAAACTCCCGCTTATTAAGTCAAAAAGTATATGCAGTATATGTGGAACAATTTACTTAAAGACCTAAAACTTGTTTTAAAAAGCACAGTTCTCTGATTTTACCAAGTGATCATTCAGATGAAAATAATACCAAATCTTACTTCAGGAAAAATACGTTTGTGACAACTCACCTTACAACCCTCACATGCATGCACACCATAGTGAAATCCAGAGGCCTTGTCCCCACACACACGGCATTCAATAGCCATAAGGGAGTTAGAAGACTCCTCATGAGGTTTATTGTACAACTGAACTTTTTCTGAAAAGTAAGGTGGGGAAGGAGGCTCCATTTTGATTGCACCTGTGTATAGAGAAGATTTAAAGATAAATTCAAAGTATAATTAAATATATAGAAGCAGCAGCAAGGAATAATCGCAAGCAATCACAGTAAACATGGCCAGATCCATAGGTCTGCTTCATAATACAAAATGAGTAGTAAACAAAGGATGGAAAGGGATGTAAGCTGCTGGTGAGCTACTATTTCACTGGCAGTATATAGGCCAGTGAAAAACCTCGAAGGGGAAGATTCTGATGTAGAAAGTGCATTACAGATTCAGTTTTCAGCTCTGTCATGTGGAATAATTTGAAGATAGATATATTAAAAATTTACGTACGGAAACTCATACTTGAAAGGCCTTACTTTTCTCAGTATCTAATCTGGGTGTATTACTTTTAAGTGCTCAGAACTCCTGCGGGGAGATGGACTGGAGTTCCTAATCTAGTCTAAAAAAAAAAAAAAATTAAGTATCTAATAGACCTATACATTGAATAATGTATTATTGGGTAGTATGTATATCGGGTAATAAAATATTGGATAGTTAAAGAAATATAGCTCTCTCCTGGGGAACTGTTCAACTGTGGATGCAGTTTAGAGATACAGTTTCTCTTCTAACAGTTCCTAATTAAGAGAGCAATTTGTAATATTGAACAAGTTGAGACAATCAAATATGATATCGTTAAATCAATCATTACTGGTCACAGAAGAAAGCTGTCACATTTGACACTATAACATTACATCAGATCATGTCTCAGGAGTGATGTAACAGACACTGTATTACAATAAGGTGAATGTTTTTCTTTTCCAGACTGGCTACACTACATGAACTAGAAAGTTTTCTTTCCTATATAAACTAGGAAGAAAAAAGAAAAGTGGAAAATTACCCTACCTAAACTCTACTGCACTCTCTAGCTTAAACAAAAGAAAAATAAATTAGCTGGAAAAATGTTTTTGAATTTATTTTGTAAGTAACCCAGAGGTACACAGCATCTGCTTCACTGTAAAACCGGAATCAAATGCCACAATTTTCCTAGCAAGAATTCCCTGACAGAATTCCTGTACAGATTACTACAAACAAAAGTGATGTCAGATTTAAGCAGGCTAAGTGGATCTTTAAGATAGTTCCAGGCACAGCAACCTTACATTCCTACTTGGAGCAGGAACGCAGTAACAACTTATTTAAGAATAGGTCACTTCCTTTCTTAAAAGGAGAGTTCCATCTATTTTTTTTTTCACTCTAACTGGCAAGAGAGCAGCGTTTTTCATAGTATATAAATAATACTAGCCCACAAAGCCCCAAGGTTATGCCTGCAGTAGGAACTCTGATAAAGTTATACCAACGTTGCGAGTCAGATGCAGCCAATATTTCTACTCCATCAGTTTCTTAGGCCATTTGGAATTTAAAAGCTACACATATTAATAATTAATATGCTATGTACGCTGGGGCAATTTTAACATCCAGGATATCTATTCTGCATGGTGTGCATAGAGCTTCAAAGGACAATTTACACACAAGATACATGAATAGGAGACTGGAGACTTCAGAACCACATAGTGGGGTCCATATGCCTAATAAAAAGTGTTTAATGTCAGTTTAGATACTTTATGATACGTTGCCTAATCTCCAGTTGCTGCTCGGGAAGGGTGAAAGCCCGCTATATGTATTCTATCTTTTCTCTCTGCCCTGCAAGAATATCTTGTGGATGTCCCTGATGACACGGGCTACCAGCGTTTAGCCATCTACCTCTAAGTCCTTTTGCTGGTAGTACACTTTCCAGGGAATGAAGCAAATATGAACATGAAGGAAATATAAAAAAATTTAAAACATACTTTGGCAATCCTGGAGCTTAATATCATATTTATAATCAATGCTTGTCTGATCAGTTCTTGCAAGAGGAATATCTTCATAGTGCGGTGAAGAAATGCTTGAAAAATCAACAGTGGTAAATGGCTTTATGTCAAAGGAATGTGCATGATCATCCATCGCTGACAGATCCACTGGACTTATTCCAAAATTAATGGGCCAAAATGGCATTTCTGTGTCAACCATTGTAATCCCTGAAAACAAAAAAAAAGAAGCAGACACTTTAAAAGAAGCTAGTTATCTCTGTAATGAGTTCAGGCCCGAGCTGAGATCCAATTGTCTCATGTCTAAAGGGCTGAGATGCAAACTCACAATCAGGTGTAGGTTTTAGGAGAATGTTTAGATTCCATCTATCATTGATATCATGAGTTTGTCACCATATAACGCATTAGGCTGTACAGTAACATTGCGTGGCTAACACTGGGCAGTTAACCCAGCTTTGCGGTGGTTCTTAGGAAGGCTCTGAGGTCTCAGGTCATAAGAAGTGAGATCAGCTGGCATCCGGGGCTCCAGCTAACCTTAGAACAGAACGGTGGCCTTCCGTATGCTGCTACACTGAACTGATCTGAGCTGTACTTCAAAAGGCAGTGGAGACAACTGGTGGGCTCGCAGAACAACGGTCAGGTGACTAACTGACAAAAGTATATATGGGAGAAATAACCATCGAAATAATTACAAATGGCTGGATGAAATACAATTGCATTTTAATAGTATATTTTATAGAACATTTTTGTGCTTTAGTAAGCATGCAAGTCATTAAAAAAAAATCCCTAAAAACCCAATGATGTGAAATTAAAGCAGCATAACGTGGGGGGAAAAAAAAATAATCTTTTTTTGGTCAGATAACACTGACTTTAATTGCACCTCTCAATAGCGTGCATATGAATAGAATTAGAAATCTTCCCCAATTGCAAATTCTTTGCAAATTCTAATCATCATTCTTCCCAAATGCCTGAAAATCTTAAGGATTTTTATTTTAAGGGAAAAAAAGAAAATAGTTGGTATTAAATAGTGGTGGTTTTCCTCCAAATAACCAGAAATAATTGAAATCTTTACTCACTCAAGAATGTCAAAAGTTTTATCCCAGAGTCTTAAACCCAAGGGTTAAGGAAATTATTTAATGTATGACTTTCCAATTTCCATATATATTTATGAAGATCTTGAAAGTAGTAAACAAATAAAAAGTTTCAATCTGCAAAAATCTTCAGCAAATTGAGTGAATTTAGATTGAGATACAAAATGTTTTTCCCAGTCCTCTTCTGACAGTTAGCTGAACCAAAATCCTTGATTTAGACATATTTCAACTATGAAAAAGTCTGTAAGTAACAGCAAGTGTAAAACACTTACTGTTTTACAACTAGGATCTGTCTTTAATTTTCCATGATTTATAAAAAGAACACTCTAACATAAAAATAGAATAGATGTTATGAAACTTGGTCACTTTGGCTGTTTCATTTGGACTTTAGACCCAGTCAAGTAAGTAGCCTTTAACCCCTAGATAACAGGAACTTTGATTTGATCTACTTTGAATCAAAACTACTCTGTCACACTGCCAAAACTGTTGTTGCAAAATGTATAGAATGGAACAGACCTGCTCCATAATTTTGAGATCATCCTTTGTTTTGACAAGCCTACAGGTAAGTAAAACAGTGACTGTCCTCCCCATCAGCTATGCTGAAGTGCTAAGGTAGTAACGGCTAGAAATGGTTACAGTTCTCTTTATCTTTCCTCGGGAAAGTCACCATCATTCTTCCACCTTTGGGGACTTGCAGCACAACCGTTTAGTTTTTCTACCTTGAACATTGACAACAAAGGTTGTAAGATGTCTTTCTCCCTCTTAAATTTCAGATAAGGAATTCTCACTGCAGCGGGAACAAAAGAGATGCTGCTGTATCCCATGCTGCACAACATACATGTTGCCTCCAGTGGAACATAAGGGGAACCTATAGCTCCTTCATACTGCCACCCCTAGACACTGATAGAGTCCTGTAAAGCAACCGGTGTTTAAGGGTGAACTGTCAGCAAGGTTAGCCTAACGGTCAGCCAGCCGCCTGCCTTCCCAAAGACTTTGGCCATTGGCTGGGATATAGGGTCTCACGTTATCCTTAATGAAAGTAAGATCTGTCTACAGGTAAACAACAGAACTTCTAACTGCCACTAGTGAAAATTATCTGGTGAAAGTACATTATAGGTTGTCAGGGTACCTTGGTGTTACATAGCATCTTCCAAATAATCAATTTTTCTGTAAGCACGAAGTGCAAATCCCTGGCCATCAAGACTGGGAAGGGTCTGTCTTAAACAGATGTCCAAATAAAGCAATAAAATAGAATGGACTCCTTCTTAAGGGTCCATTTTAGTAATTAACCAGACACATCTTTAAAAAAGTAAAACAAAATCAACAGACATCTAAAATTTAAACATTGGCTCATATTCCTTTAAGCAGGTGACATTGAGAGTTATGTCCACTTTGCATCTGGAGGGCTGCCTCAAGGGTGAGGAAGAAGGATGCCTACAGACATGGTCCCATTTATAGCCCAAGTTCATCCCATGGAGTCCATAGGCCTCAATATACGCAGATGCACCCATGAGGTTACTGCGTGGCCAAGGAACAACTGCAGCAACATCAGAAGGCCAGAAGACTCCTACCGAGAGCTGCCCTTGCACAGACACCTCCCCTGCACTGGAGGAGCAGCTGAAGAGGCTTGAGTACAGGCTTAAAGGCAAGTGCAAGCTTAAGTCACTCACTGAATAGAGATATACTTAATCACTTGCCACTGATCTCGATTTTTTGTATTACATGCAAAGCGGATGTTAATGTTAAACAGTTTTCCTGCATTGTCCATAAAACTTCTATAAAAACATTCTCACAATTTTGAGGTGTTATCAGTTTTTCAATTTAAAAGACTTCAGTTAGCAAAACACTGTGAGCTAAACAGCAAGTTAAAGCTAGTCCATATTTCACTTTATAACACCGTGAATGAGTGTGATGTTTTGGAGAATTTGATTATGTAACATGATTAATTCTATGAAACTCCTGAACACTCATAACACAGTGTGTGCGTGAAATTCACAACGTACAGATACACTACAGCTTAGAAAGACTCAGATAAAACTGAAGGCCAGAGGTCTGGCTTGCTAGGCACAAACTCCACAAGCAAAGAGGGTACAGTAATTCCTTAGCAGGAATTTTCTGTTTTCAGCACAGCTAGCTTGTTCCAGAAAGTCTAACAATAACACCAGAGCAGTTTCATGGTGAAAGTATTTCTAGCCTAGAACTGTGATGTTTTAGATTTTTATTAAGTTTCAGAAGCAGCAAAATAAAAATAAATAAATAAAAACTAATCTGTCATTTTCACAATCACTTAATATGAGGGATTGTGTTTCATGCCTGCTGTTTTTTCCTTACTAATTGGTTGTTTTTTTTCTGGGCATGTGTTCACATCACACGCACATTCTGTATGCTGGGAACAGAGGAAATAAAACTGCCAAGAATACACTGAAGAGAAAAACAGGGAACTGTGGGTGCACCTATCAGCAGGTCACAAAGTAATTCCCTTTTATGCTACTCATATTTCTGCTCTAAGGTAATAAAAACTGGAATCAGCAGCCATTTAGAATTCTTTGAGAAAAAGCCTATAAACTCCACCCCTTCCAGAGGTTAACATCCCATGACTAGTAATATCAGTCCTGATCTTCAGGCAACTAAAAAGGCTTTGCTAAATCATTCCTCGACAAAAAATGTCTACTTCTAGTTTTGAAAAATCGTTATGTTGTTTATAATTTTGTCTAAGATGTCCACGAAGGTACCTAGCAACAAAACTATACCTATACACATACACGTAAGTGTGTATATCTGAAGTATCCTGTTGAAGTATAAGGCTCTGACGTGGTAAAATGCCTTAAATAGATTGGATTTACTCAGCACAACAAAAGGTTTGCATGTACACTTTTAACTGCTTTTCTTCCATTGAAAAGAGTGAACTTTGGCTGTATTGTAAATCTAAATTGACACAGCCTTAGCTCTGTACAATTTATGTGACTTCAATTTCCACTCCCAGTCTCGCAGGAACCTAGAGGGCTCGTGAACCTACGCTTTTAATCCAGCCACAGCAGAGAAACACTTTGCCTCTCAGGCCTCGCAGTTAAGGAACGTACATCTCTTCTGAGAGATTAACATTCCCCAGCAACAGCACCGCAAGGCAGGACAAGATGGGTGTTTATATGTGTGCGTCTACAGGGGGAGAAACGGAGAACGCGTGGCTCCTACCTAATCTTGGCTTTCCTCATTGATGTATGAAATAAAGCTAATTCTGTGCTTTCCCAGCTGTAGGGACTATGTTTCTACTACTTAATACGACATCTGTGCAAAAAGGTGGTAAAAGATTATTTTCTTACTATACTTCATGACAGCAAAAGGACTAAATATTTTACTTTCATTATGCATACATTTCTAGTTTTTTTGGTTAAAAAAAAGCAGCAATGTGACCTGGTATACAGATATACCAATCAATAGGTATTTTTCAAAGATGCCAATAAATGCAAAGTTGCTAAAGGAATCTTGAAGATGTCAGTGTAATAGATTCTGTACTATAAGAATATTTAAGGTCAAACTAATCACAAGACAGCTGTTTTCTGCTTCTTTCTGTATTTATGGATAAAAAGATGCATATTATAGCATTTCTTTATACAAGGAAACAGCCAGGTGTCAATGGCCCCAGATAAATATTATTCATAAATATTTCTGAATTATGAGAATTTTCAGCTTTGCTCAGGTTTTGGATATAAAAATCAAAGCGTTTCATTGCTGTTTTAAAGTTTGAATCTTCACATATGACTGCTAAGTCTTAGTCAGATATCCCAGATATCCTGTTCAATTTAATAAAAATTTCTATGACACTGGAAACAAAGTGAATTTTACTGTTCAGACTAATTTATATTATAAATACTAGAATGAAGAAAACCTCTTATGTGCTAGTTTTAGTCTTGCATTATTGAAAACTAAAATGTGAAAACTGTTCCTATGTTTAATAGTTACAACTATTTTTATTTTGTATGTAACTTTACTTGATTTCTGCTGTGTATTTTGTCTTTTTCCCTCCCCATAAGAGGTGAATGCCAACATTTCCCTCTCAAAAAATAAATAATAAAATAAAAATTTAATTGTAGTCTTCTCGTGGCTTTTTAAGGAAAC